GACGGCAGGAGCAAATGTCGCATGGATTGGTTGGTTAACTGGGACTGCATGGAGGGAGGAAGGGAGGAGTCCAAGTTCCAGAACACAATTTTTTACCAAAACAAATAAGGGTCTATTTTTTTATTCGACCCTTAAATTAAACGCTTGTTAAAATAAAATTCGACCCTAACAAGCGCTTTCGACCCTTATAAGGGTCTATTGGTCCCTCTGGGAGGTTCTGGCCCTGAGGTTTCACAAGGTTGCACAGAGTTCCGCAAGGATTCTACAAGGGTTCCAGAAATGTTCTGCAAGGTTCCGCGGTTTGCCCTGGAGAGAAGCAGTGTGTCGCGCGCCCGCCGTCTGAACAGCCATCGGAGCAGTAAATTGAGAGCTCCTGGGCGGAACACTAAGCAAAACCGAAATCAATGGTTTTCAGCACACTTTCACTGTTTTGTCACTTGCTCACTTGAGATCACGTTGCTGCAGGACTCACTGTGCAGCAGAGGCATTGCTGAGTATTACTTGGTGGGCTTTAGGTTCCAAGAATTCCACGAGGCTGCAAGGGCTATGGGGTAAGGTTCCAAGGGCTCCACGAGGATGATTTGCGAGGTTCACCGGGCCCAGATGGGCCCGATCGGCCGCTTGCGCCGTCGCGCCCTGATCGCACCCCCAATCCAGTCGGGCCCCGTCAACTGTACCAAGCTGGCTTTTGCTAAATACAGTTGTAAACCCGCGTTGAGCTATGAATGGGCGGCTGGGGTTGGGCCCCGGGCACCGATTGCACCGTCAGGCCCCGATCGCCCCGCGATCGGGCCCCGATCGGACCCCGATTGCAACGTCGGGCCCCTGATTGCACCGTCGGGCCGCGATTGGGCTGCGATTGTGCTGTCAGGCCCCGATTGGCCCCTATCGCCCCCGATTGATCGATGCACCGTCGGGCCTGCTCGGGCCCTTAATTGCACCATCAGGCCCCGATTGGGCTCGGGCCCCGATCGCGCCCCGATTGCACCGTCGGGCCCCGATCGGGCCCCGATTGCACCGTCGGGCCCCGACCGGCCCCGATTGCGCATTATGATTGCACCGTCGGACCGCGATTGGGCTGCGATTGGGCTGCGATTGTGCCGTCAGGCCCCGATCGGGCCCCGATTGCGCCGTCGGGCCCCGATCGGGCCCCGATTGCGCCGTCGGGCCCCGATCAGCCTTGCTTTACTTCTAAAGTTACAAGGCGGCATCCTCAGCAACACCGGCGGTGAGGTGTTGGGGATATCGCCTGAGCTTATTGTTTTTTCCTGAAAAAACTCAGCCCCCAGGAATCTGAAAAACTCAGCCCCCAGGAATCTGAAAAAACTCAGCCCCCATGACGACCCCTTCTGTATACATTCCCCCCCGCCAGCCACGCAGCCACGAGCCACTCAGCTCTACCCCCCCCCCAGCCACTCAGCCACTCAGCTCCTCAGCCACTCAGCCACTTGGAGTGGCTGAGTGGCTGGGGGGGCCGCCACTGCAAGTGGCTGAGTGGCTGAGTGGCTGCGATCGGGAAATATTGCACGTCCAATCCATGTTTCATCTAATTTGTCTTGTCCTTACTGAATTTTATTCAAATTAATTCATTCAGTTCCTGAAGAATCCAATGTTTTAGTCACAATTCGATTTGAACTATTCCCATGTTAACTTCGTCTCCCTATTTGATTTCTAGCTCGGGATGGAAGTTCTAGTCAAATACTTTCCTCGTAAAAGAAAACATGTGGAAAAGACTTCCCATTTCGCGTCTAACTTACAATGAAAATCCATATCGAATTTTGTCCTTCCTAAACAACCTTGAAAAAGCGGATGAAAAGTCTTCGGACATGAATTCCCACCTAGATTCTAGGCCGAAATGGAAGTGCTGGTGCTAGTTCAACTCTTGCTTCATTAAACCCTTTCCAGGAAGATGTTGTAAGTGAACTCCATATTGAAAACCTAATTGAAAAGGAAATTGCATGTAAATTCTACTTCGAAACATACCAGTTCTGACTTAAGCCCTGGATTGAAACGGAACTGTTGATTGGATCATTTCTACTAATTCAATTTTGAAGGTGTACCTGGGCAGGAATTCTGTCTAAATTCAACCATCTTAAACAGCATAGTATTAATCGGGCTTGAAATAAGATATATAATTCCTAACCACACAAGACTTAAGTCTCTTTCAACTGAAACTCAACACATGTTGAAATGACTCATATATCAAAATCGTTGTCCGTACTGAATTCTGTTTCAATTCGTTTACTTCTAACTAAAGTTCTATTTAGAAACGCCGAAGTTCTAATTAGAAAGGCCTTCCGGTTTAAAGGTTGTTTTATTATAGAAGACCTGGTTGAATCAGGCCCGAATAAATCCAAATCCAGTTTCGGAGCTATGTGAACCTTAAAAAATGCTTGAGAATGACTTGCTACTACCCTCCTGATCTGCCGGCCCCTTGCCAAAGAGGGGAGGCGCACGGGACGGGTGGCTGGAACATGAGCATCACTGAAGATTCATCATCATCTGCATCATCATCATGATGCCCATCATCACCCTCATGGTCATGATCGCGGTGATCGTCAAACTAGGTTGGTCCTGCCAGTAGCTTGTCTCGTTGTCCTTATCTGCCTGATATACCTGTTTGTGATGCTGCACAAAAGTTATTTCTGACGGTAGGCACCGTCAGCATCATCATCGTCATTATCATCATCATGGTGCTCATCATCATCGTCATCATCATCATCAACATCATCATCATCAAGAGCTAGGTTGGTCCTTGTCTCGTCTTTCAAGCTAGGGGTTGCTGGGGGGTGCGTAGTCGTGAGTGTCATCATGACTCCTGGCGACACTGGGGATGCACAATGCGATGACAGCCGTGCATCTCAGGGTCTAACGGGACACTTGAAACATGTATCAAAAACAACGACGGTGACGCTGATGATGAATCATCACCAGGCTTGCCTCAACATCATCCTGATCATGATCCTCATTATCATCCATCATCATCATCATCATCATCATCATCATCATCAAGGTGCATCATCATCAGCATCGTCGCCCTAACCTGTTTCATCTACGTTTCAAGTGTGCGGTTGGACCCGGCTTGAGATGCAAAAGATGCGTAGTTATCATTATCATCAAGACTGCTGGTGATGCTGGGGATGCATATAGTGACCTTTATCATCGTCATCATTACCATCACCGAAGTTGGGGATGGCTCGTGATGATCATCATCCTCATCATCATCATCCTCATTATCGTCCACCATCATCATCGTGGCGCTCATCATCATCATCAATGATCGCCACGTCAGACCCGATCATCATCCGTCATCTGATATCATCCATCATCATGATACTCTGCATTGTCGTCCTTATCTTTTTTGGCTTACGATTCAAGTGTGCCGTTAGACCGGCCTTGAGATGCAAAGGATGCGTAGTCATGATTGTAGTCATGATTATCATCATGACGGCTGGTGATGCTGGGGATGCATTGAGGCGACGTTGATGATCATCACGATGATGACAATGACGATGGCTGATGATGATGATGATGAAGGATGATGATGATGAAGCCTGATGATGATGATTATTGATCCCCAACATCGGTGATGATGATTATGATGATGATGATGATGATGATGATGATGCATAATGAGAATCATCACTATGCATCCCCAGCATCACCAATGGCGATGATGATGATTATGATGATGATGATGATGACAGCCATGATGATAATCATCACTACGCATCCCCAGCATCACCAGCACTCATGATGACAATCATGACTACGCCTCCTGTGCATCTCAAGACGGGTCTAATGCCACACTTGAAACGTGCCAGCATGATAATCATCACTATGAATCCCCAGCATCACCAGCAGTCATGATGATAATGATGACCACGCATCCTTTGCATCTCAAGCCAGGTCTACCGGAACAATTGAAACGTATATGAGAAAGATAAGGACGACGATGATGATGGCGATGTTGATGATCATCACGACGCTGACAATCATGTTAATAATGGATGTCATGACGAGATCCTCTATTCTACGCCTCCTTTGCATCTCAGGTCGGACATAACACCACACTTGAAAACGTATAATATCAAAAAGATAAGAACACCGTAATGATGATTTTGATGGATGGTGAGGATGATGAGCAGGATATTGCTCGTCGTCATTCATCATCATCATCATCATCGACATCATCTTCATCATTTATGCGCCGAGTCCTGCTTGACAATCTTGTCTATGCAGGATCCTGCATACACGACAGGTTTGTCCATGCAGGATTTTATCCATCGTCATCATCATCATCATCATCATCATCATCATCATCATCATCTTCGTCGTCATCGTCATCATCATCATCCGGGCTGGTGGGTCCACAGAACTGCTGCAGACTTGGCGGCTTCAAACAGAGGGTATGGTGTTCACATAGAATCCTTCTCGACTTCAGCCACCTGGGCGTCGGCAGCACTGGGCGGCAGCCCTTGAATTTAACAAACAAACAATCTCAATGAAAGCCCATTTTCTTTGCCTTGGGAAAGGGGGGGGTGCACCACAACCCCTGCAATCGTTTTGAGGTTCACACAACTTGGAGAAGTCCAGCAAAAAACAATCCCGAAAGGCCCTGACCTAAGTCTGCAGGGGTCCCCCAAAAAATAACATTTTGGGGGGGTCTTTAGCCTAGCCCGCCCCAAGAGTGCTGGGGGTGTGTTTTTGACACGTCGACTTTTTCGAGGCCAGAGCCCAGCATTGGTGGGACCTCTTCACGTTTTGTGAGCTCAAACAAGTCTGTAGTCCCAAAACCCACAAATCCTACGAGATCAAACGTCTGCAAGGGCCCAAAAACAAACCTGTAAGGTCTATTTTGTTTAAGGCTCCACAAGAAGCCACTCGCAATCTGTGACTCACACTCTGAACAAGTATTAAAAACAAAAAAACGACAACAACAGCAAAAAAGAGTCTTTTTTTCTGAGACAAACCCATGTGGTTATCGCTGTCCAGGCCACACGGTTTGCCCTCCACGTTCACGCCGTGCATCTTCCAGCATAAGTTGTTGTCGTGAACAGACTGGCGAGAATGCAACTCAACTGCTGCAGGAAACCCACTGTTTGCAATGCGGGTTCTGTAAACAGTGGGATCCCATAGTTGGTTGGCTTCCCAACACTAACATTGGCTTTGTTTTTCAGCTTCCCTCTAGTTGGTTTGGATTGGTGGTTTGGTGGTTAAAATCCTTTGCAAGAACCAGGGGTTCAAATCCCCAGGCCACCAATCCCAACCACCAATCAGGGTGGAGGCGTTCTTTATCGTATTTCTCCTTCAAAATCAAAACGGGTTTCCCCTATTCCTCCCCAAAACATGTGACACACCCCCAAAACCCCAGAGGTCTGTGTGCCAGGCAGAATGCGAGGCCCCGCCTTCACCAGCTCGCCGCTCCAGAAGAAAGCCTGATTGTCTCCTCCGTGGCAGCTGTGCATGTACAGGTTGGAGTCGCCTAGGCAAAAAAACAACAAACAAACCGCCAAGAACGCTGAAACTTTCATTTTTTTTTGCGCCCTTTTTGCATAGCCGCAGTCGAAACCAGCGCCGGAGAATGCCGCAGACGTTTCTGAACACTGATAAACTCTGTTTGGCACACGACTGAGCTCAGAACTGTTAGTGTGCATGTCCAAGCACTGCAAGGCATCTGCCTGATTCCTCAAAATGGGACCCTGGAAGAACCACTGCTGGTTGTCGTCGTGCTTGCAGTTGTGCATAACAACCTCGAGTCAGGGCCGAATGTACTTCCGGACCTTCATCCAAACACTTCAGCTCCAATGCTTGTATCTTCCCCCCGACGGGTACCTCATTTTTGGCCTGCTCGAGGTCTCAAGGTTCTACAATCTGGGCCCCCTGGGTGATTTGGCCAGAAAGGACACCGGCGACAGTACAGGATCCGTCCATAAAACTTCTTGACTCTGGCTTGGAATGATTGAACAACATTGCGCAAGTAGACAACAATATGTGTGTGTTTGCACATGTAGATTAAATGTCTTGGTAAGCACGGTTCAGCAAATGTCCAAGTAAACTAAAATAACAAGGCCGTTTCCTGGAAACAGACCCTTGGAGCTTTCTTCTTTAAGACGACCCAACCCCCCAAAGGGCTTTCTGGCCGGGCCTACCGGCAGCCGTTGGATGCATCGGTCCAAATCCAAAGCCGCATCGGGACCCCCAGTGATCCGATCCAAACCACTAAAATAGGAAGCCTAAAACTTGGGTGGTGAGAAAACACCAACCAACCAGGGGATCCAAAACGGTTTTGAGCACAGCTATTTGAGTGAGTCAGAATTTGCGTGGTTCCGAGTCCTTTGGTGCGAATTGGGGCCCAAAGCTCTACATGGATGCATGCCCAACACTGGAGACCCCAGTTTTATAGTATGAACATCGTTGAAGGCCCAGATCACCCATTCCGCAGTGGACATGTTGAGGGGATTCACCTTCCACATTCTTCAAGCGGCAACAAAAACGGATAAGGTCAGACAAAGGTCAGGCGACATCCCAAATCAGACTCAAGAGGCATTGTTGTCCCCTTGCTTCTCCATGCACTTGCTGGGATCGGCTTCGCTGGAAAGCCGCTGCGGCGTCCTGGACCACTGGCAATTCAGCTTCTGCAAAGTCTATGACCAGCGACTCACAACTTCACACTCACTTTCAGAACAGTTGTCCGCACGACTCGTGGGCCCGTATCTGGCGCAAGAAACAGCATCCTCTTCCCTGATGGCCAAAGGAAACAAAGGCAACATAGTGGCGGCGAATAGTTTGTTTTGTTGA